GAAAACTGTCGCCAATGAATGAATCTGGGTACCAACAACAGTCAATGATATCAGTTACATTTAGGGACAGCTTGCATTCGGATTATTAGTGCATCGATCAAATTTCTTCAAGATTGCTGCGATCGAAACTGCATCATCTGATGGATAAACCTGTCAATGACTATGTCACCTTTCTGCTTTTATTCATTTTCACGGACGGGAGCTAAATCAGTCGCAGTGTTCTCATAGGCGGATTCAGGACGACCTCCTGAAGGGGGAGGGGGTCGGCCAGTGGGGGTTCTACCGGCGACGATCAGGAAAAAGGAAGCGAGGTCTTCAGTTTTAGCTTTAGACCCTAACTTTTGTAGCGCTGGTACCCCTGCCGAAAGGCATAGGCCTAAGAAAATCGGTTTTCAGACAGACAGAGAGAGAGAGAGGTATAGAGAGCATACTCGAGCACTAAATGGTTTTGTAAGTAATCGACAGGCCGCAGCCGATGACAAGCATAAAGGAACAATCGGTTACACTGATCCTACCTTCAAAAACATCAGTTTTTTGTAAAATTTCGGCAAATGATGAGCCACAACACCACGTATGAATTACATCCATCAGATGCGGCTTGAATGACTCCACATATTGATCCTCATCGATTTCCAGTTTAGATTCCTTCGATAAAACCGCAATGTGCCGCGCATAACCCTGGAAAATGTAGGCAATCAAATTACTTTTTTTGATAATTTGGCTATCGATTCAGCCCCTCACGCAAATTCACACAATCATCGTAGCCGAGAACTTCTCCATTTTTTTGCTATATAAACGGTGGTCAATTCTATACGAGTGATTCGTGTTATATCTTCCACTAAACCGTATAAATAAACTGCATACACAACACGCTTCTGTTGTTGAATTATATATATATATATATATGCACACTCATACAAACATACATACGCACACCCATACATGTAAATACTCACACAAACATAAATTAAAATCTACCACGGTAGGGTAAGGGTACATAATGCTTTGTTTCTTTGGGGTTGTGAAAAAACAAGCAGATGGCGATTCCCTGGCATATAGCACTGCCAATTTACCGTCGAAACGAGCAGACAAACTTCAAAAAACTAGCCGTTTCACTAGATGGAACGGAACTCTCGCTCTCTAGCATAAATATGATGCTGCTACTTGTCCCATTCACTGCATTCTCCAACAAGTTTTTTCATCATACTGTGTTTTTTCTCAACTTATGCAAAAGCGCCGCAAAAGTAAGCGAGGAAAGCAAAATGATGAGAGAAGGCAGAAACAGAACATACCTGCATGGCACGTAAGCATCCGCCCAGTTCGTCCCCTAAATTCGTTGCGCTTGCTTTTTCTTCGAATACAAAGCACGAGAGAAGCGCTGCCATCTGTGATGCGTCCAGTTCCGTGAAAACACCGCCGAACATCATCTCAGTGAGCACCAACTCATCCGCTGCACTGATTTCACACGCCACTCGACCCTTAAAATTCATTTTTTTTTCCAATCTAGCACTGTCAATGACATGTCAAATTTTCTTTTCGAAAACATCTTACTCACTCAAAATCCTAATCCACCTTCCCCCTCCCCTCCCTCCTCCCCCGGTCATATAATTCACTCCCTAGAAGAAAAAGGACGCATGGAAGAAACTCAATATCAACTAGCATTTTGAAAAAACTAATTAACTCACTGTCGACACGGCTATCAGTGAATTCCCCCTCCGAAGGCTGCTCAAGAAGCAAGCTAAAAGCAAATCCGACTCCCTAGCATGCGCTTGTACTAATTTACTATCAAACGAGTCAAAAAATTGTAGAAAGCATATA